GAAGGCAATGGCAAGCCCCTGTGAAGAAATTTTGGCAAGAAAATGCCATGATAGGGTTGCCATAGGTTGGGTGTGATTTGAGGCCACACAACAACAAAGCAAATGCTGCCAGATATCCTAAGCATCCTATGAACAAATCCAGGTAAGTTTTGCATCCTGGAATCGCTCAGTGCTTGAAGAAATTAGTGCATGTGTAATATAATATAATAGCCCTGTTATGTTTTTTCCACCCCATCTTAACATGAACATGCAATGCCTGGAATCCTATTGGTGACATATGCTGGCCTAATTTGAAAATTATATTAGCCTGTGTTCTTTTTCAGTCATTGTTAACAGGGCTCACCACCTACTTTTTCTTTTCTTTTTTAAAAAAAGATCCATAATTCAGATCTTAAAAAAATCTGTATATCTCACATAATTTCTATATACAAATGGCATTATAGAAGTTTCTTTCCTTTTCTCCCTTCCCTCCTTCTTCGTTCTTATTTTCAAGGTCGGATGCACTTTAATTAACCACTATCGTATTGTATATTCTTCCCTTCATAAAAAAAAATAAATCAAAGCATTCCACCTCTTCATAAACAAATTTCTTCCGTATTGCTCAATTACCATGTGTTATTCTATATTCTTATTCATTATGTCTATTATGTTACCGACTGCTTTAATATTTTCTAATTCTTTATAGATATTATCTGTGTTAATTGTCTTATTTCTTATACATAATTCCCTTAATTACGTTACTTTCTGAAATCTATAATCTGGTGACGCACTATTCACATTGTCTTTCCCCCTTCAAATTAGTGACTGCTAATCAATCTCTTCTGGCAGAACTCCATCAATGGATTCCATTCTTTTTACCTCCTACATTTTCATGGGGTTGGTGCACCTCATGGCCATTTAGTGGCCAGAGGATGATAGGAGTTGCCAGGCAGCCAAATGCACAAGGACACAGAAAGGGGTAGGCAACCTTTCCCCTTTAAAGGCCGAGGGACTTCAGCTCCCAGAAGCCTCAGCCATGTTGGTCAATTCTCCCATGTTGGCCAATAGCTCCTGGGATTCTGGGAGCTGAAGTCCCTTGGCCCTTAAAGGGGAAAGGTTGCCTACCCCTGCTTTAAACCCACTGGGATTCTTGGAGGAAACGACTGCTTACTGCATGGATCCCTCCAGTCCTCCCTTGTCCACTAAATATTTATGGAGAGAACCCAACTGCAGAACAATAATATAAAGAAGAGAGGGAGTATCATTACACCTGGTGGAGATTTACACACAATCAATGCAATCTAGGATTTTAGTTAGTGGTGACACAAGTATCACAAGGATGCAAGTCAGGTAATCAAGATTGGCTGGGTTGAGATGGTTATTATTTTGTATACCCCTGGTCTTTTCGTATAGCATTATTTTAAGAATGTACTCTACGTCATCTAAGAGTTTTGTTAACTTGTAAGAAAGCACAGGAGTGTCTTAGATTACTTCTGCTGTTTTGACAGCACAGAACGAAGAAGTAAACTAGTTTCACCAAGTAAAAATTGCCTTGTTTCCTGTTCTTTTGTTGGTCAAGTTAATAATGGTTGCAAGCTTTGCTGTTTACTGTGCTGATTCAGTAGAGAAGGGAAGGGATTGCTAATATTGTACAAACAACATTTTATACCCTGCACTTCTGTGGCATTTTCCCCTTTCAGAATTTCAAAGTACTTATGTAAATAATGGCAATTGTTGGATATGAAGAAGGTAGGAGAAACCAGTTCCACGACAGGGGAGTAGCCCAAATAATTTTGATTAATTTGCAAAGTGAAGAAAGAGAGGCTGCTGGTGATTTAACATAACTTTTTTCATGGGGGGAGTGAATTATATGCATTTTGGCTTCCATGCAAACAGCCATATATTCACCACTGTCTTAATGAAAGGTGAGAAATTTTGCAAATTCAATTAGAAGAGAAGTAACAATATGTTAACTCAAAGGGCTTTGTCACTCATTCCGGGTTTAACTCCAGCCAATTCTTTGATACTTATTAACCAAATATTTGCTATGGGTGACACCTCCCAAATCCAGATCAAACTTTGTACAGGCGTGTGTATGTGTGTATTAATTATGCCCTTCTGCATCGAAACCTGTTAGCTAAGACAGTCTGCTCCTTCGCTTAATGTGCAACATGTTGCTTGTTAGACCTACAAATAAGTTTGAGTCACCAAACACATTTTAGCTTTACTCTTAGAAAAAGATCCAACTCATCCACATCTAAGGTGTGACCTATCTGGTAAATTTCCTTGGACTTCAGACTGTCTCTTCTTCACTCTTCCTTCTCTCTTTGCATTCCTTATAATTTCCTTCCTTTGGGGATTTAAATATCTTCTCACCCACTTTCTCCAAATATTTATCTAGCTACAGTCATTCAACCTGGCATTAAGAATTTGCAGCAGTGCCTGAACCAGACTGTACCAGGATGTACAATGCCAGCAAATGAAATGGAGACAAATCTCTGTGGTGCTGTAAGCCTGAACAGTCTGAGATGAATTAGAGAGGTCAACCTCTCACAGAGAGAGAAAAAAATGCAAAGATTTTGTATGGGATGAGATGGGAGGTCTCAAGGAGATGGAAGCATGAGACACTTCTTGCCAAAAACCACTGGAATGAACATTATGGACAGATTCTGGCACTATGGCTGGGCACTAGTACAGCCGGACCTCGCTATTCATGGATTCTTTATCCATGGATTGAAGCATCTGTGGTTTGAAAATGTTTTTTAAAAAAATATATAAATTCTTAAAAGTGAACCTTGATTTTAAGGAACCCTGGTGCTGCAGTATTTAAATGCTGGCATTGCAGCCACAAGGTTGTGAGTTCAATCCCAGGGCTCTAAGGTTGACTCAGTCTTCCATCCTTTTGTAGGTGGGGTAAGATGAGTACCCACCTTGTTGGGGGCAATTGGTTTACAGATTATAAACCTCTTAGTGCTGAGTTCACTATGAAGTGGTATAGAAATGTAAATGCTAAATGCAACTGATTTTGCCATTTTATATAAGGACATCATTTTACTCTCCATTGTGTTTAATGGGACTTGAACATCCATGGATTTTGGTATCTATGGGAGGCCCTGGAACCAAACCCCAGCAGATACCCAGGGCTCACTGTAATATTTCTTAGTTTTGACTCTGGTTCTGACTCTGGGTATGATTTCTGAGCCCTCCTTTTCCTATAAAGTCCTATTGACTCACTAGAAAAGTTAATTACAAGCCACAACTGAGTGGGTGGTGTCTACAGCAATAGTGACTGGTGGCTTCAATATCAATGGGGTGCTAAATTCACTCCAAAGATCAGCCTGAACTTTAATGTTGCTATCCAAGGTGTTATGCTTATTTTAGGATCAGCACCATGGATAGCTGCTTTACAGTTTGGACTAAAACTTGGTGTGGAATCACCACTTTACTGACAATGATCGATAGTACACTCATCTTTCCACATTTGCTGGGGTTAAAGGCAAGGACCCCCGTGAATGTGGAAAAAACACACATAACAAAAACACTATGTTTTTACCTGAGAAAACACCTCTCTAAGAATCTCTAGGTCCTCCAGGGCAACTCTGTGGTCAACATTTGCCAGACATTGACCATAGAATTGCTCTGGAGGAGCTACAAATCCCTAGTGGAGTGTTCTCTCTAGGAATCTCTAGGTCCTTCAGTGCAACTTTTGGTTCAAGTTGACCATAGAGTTGTGCTGGAGGACCTAGATATTCCTAGAGAGAACATACTAGTAAAATCCGTGAATAACCAAATCTGCAAGTCAAAGCTGCAAATGTGGAGGGATGAGTGTATGACATAGTTCCTTCTTTCCTCCTTTGCTATCCCATCTTTTTCATCCCTCTCTAACAGCCCTTGCCTCTCCATCCAGTGGAAATGGAAATTATTCCCAAAGGGATTGTCTGGAGAAGAAGACTGGGCCTGAGGCATCCAGAAAGGAGGAGATAGCCACAGCAGAGAGCAGAGTAGTTGAAATCTTTCAGGAAGGTATGCTTCTTCCTAGAAATGTTTTCTTGTACTGTTTGAGGGAACTCAAGAGGGAGGAGATGGTTGTATTGTTTTATGTTTGGAGAGGAAGCAAATGTATTGCTCTAAAGAAGGACAATTCTTTACAAAACAAGCAAAGGTATTGCTCTAAAGAAACTCAACATGGTGTAGTGGTTTGAGCATTGGACTAGGACTCTGGAGACCAGGGTTCAAATCCCGGTTCAGCCATGGAAACCCACTGGGGGACCTTAGGCAAGTCACACTCTCTCAGCCTCAGAGAATGGCAATGGCAACCCCCCTTTGAAGAAACCTGTCAAGAAAACCCCATGATAGGTTTGCCAAGTCAGAAACGACCTCAAGGCACACAACAACTAACAACAACAACGGGAGAAGGAATCCAGCAAAGAAGCAAACCAAAGAAGTGTACTCCCTCACAATGCTTATGGTGACATATAATGTTTAACAGATAGATTTAAAACAACAATAAAGACTTACTTTAAAATAAATACAATTGAAATCCCTGAATAGCCTTGTATTAGGCCACAAAGTCATCAGGCCAAGCCTTTCTTACTGGGGAAAAATGATCACAAGGACGAGTGGAATTAGCCTCATCGCTGTTTTGAAGCATCCTGTTACTATTAGTTACAAAACACTGCTTCAGTTGCTGGCTTTGGAAATAATTAGGTGTTAAAGTCCTATCACATCTTGTTAAATAGATCTGAAATAACCAATTCACAATAACATGAGGGATGATTGTCTTATAGCTTGAAGTCATTTTTGTATTTTCAGTTGATTGAAATCTATGTCACCTATTTTTCTGGCACATGGGTGGGATGAGTATCACAATATATGCAATGGCTAGTTAAAATCCACTAAAGTACACAGTGCATATAGGAGACAAGGGAAGCCCAAGATAGTAAAGCCATGTGATTAAAAGATGGTGCAGTTTCGTAGCTATTTGACCACCAATTCCAAACTAGATATTTTTATACATGAGAGCCAGCATGACATAGTGGTTTGAGAGTTGGACTAAAATTCTGGAGATCAGGGTTCAATTCCCAGCTCAGCCATGAAACCCACTGAGTGAACTCTGGCAAGTAACACACTCTCAGTCTCTGGGGAAGGCAATGGCAAACCTCCTCTGAATAAATCTTGCCAAGAAAACACCATGATATGTTTGCCTTATGGTCGCCATAGGTCAGGAAAATGCTTGAAGGAGCACAACACATACACATGCATGAGTAATGGAATTGATTCAGTTCAATCTTTCTTATTCATATCTATCAGATGCAAGATATTTCCTGTTCAGAATTTCCATTAACTTGCTTACCACTAAAAAGAAGCAGCACAAATCCTCCTTTATCATGAAAAGAGGAAACGTATTCTTTACTGAAGAAAAAGAAGTAATTTCTTGCTGTTGACTCATAGCTGGTTGATGCCGACCTGCCTTTCAGCAGCTGATGGCTGTGCTGCTCTAACAGCAAATGCTGGCAAGGACAGCGTGGGGCAACCCTACACAGAAAGCAACCCTTCTGTTTTGTATTTTATTTACGTTCATCACCTTTCTATTAGGCCAGTGGGACCAGGTTTTTTTGTTAACTGCCTTCACGTCAGTCTCAACCCATGGCGACCCTATGGATGAGACATCTCCAGGCCCCGCTGTCCTCTACTGCTCTGCCCAGTTCTTGCAAACTCATATTCGTGTCTCTTGTTTAGTAAAGTCCATCCATCTAGTATGTGGCCTTCCTCTTTTTCTACATCCCTCCACCTTTCCCAGCATTATTGTCTTTTCCAATGATTTGTGTCTTCTCATGATGTGTCCAAAGTACGAAGTCTAAGCCTTGTCATCTTAGCTTCTAGGGTTAGCTCTGGCTTGATCTGTTCTAGGACCCATTTGTTTGTCCTTTTGGC